TGTGTGTGTGTGTGTGTGTGTGTGTGTGTGTGTGTGTGTGTGTGTGTGTGTATTTAAACCCCTACTGAAAACAGCAGTCAGAAAAAAACGATCAAAACATCCATCTACAAGGCTGAACACTTCTTTCTTTGCAACCTGGAACGAAGATTGTAGCAGCCTTCTTGACACTGGTACACAAGAACTGATATTGTTGTTTGTGCTCGGTCGTTTTGAAATGTTGTTGTTATCGATCTAGAAATAAATCTACCATTTCGTCTAGGTGTTTCCGATTCCCTATTCAGGAGAAGAAAAAAAAGATTGCATAAATCTCCGAAGAAAGATAGTTCTTGCTGAATTAATTTTTCTTTTCTCTTTCTGACTTGGTTGAGTCTCAGTATCTGACATTTTGTCACAATGCCACCATAGCATACAATTCCAAACAAAAATATAAATTTTATGTGGTTGCCACTATCAATCTATCAACATTCGTAAGGGATTTGAACCTCAGCCTTTCACCTTCCACCCTTGATACTTACATGTGAAACAGATGAGCACAATGGAGCGCAGAGAGGCCATGACGTCACAATAGATTATCAGGAAACCACAGACACCAGTAAACGTTCAGACTATGAGCTGAGGTCCTTGAGCACAGCACAGATTCCTTGTGGTCTACCCTACGCCTGTGCGTCCAGAGGTACTGTCCTAGTTACGACAGGAACGCCTGGATATGAGTCCTTGCGTGTACGTGGGATGTGTCTGGCTTTAATGGTAGGTCAGGCCAGTGGAGGCAACAACAGTCCCAACTTCAAGGTCATGCTGGGAGGTTGAATATGTCGTAGCGTAAGCATAATGTGTTCAGGGTCGTGCTTAAACTTGGTATGTCACTCAGTGCAACTGTTGTTGATGAGGTATATTAAAAAATTGTGTTTTTCCAAGGGGAGGGGTTGGGGGAGAGCTATCTGCCTCCTGTTGACTTGCTCAGTCCGGACTCGTCAAGTCAGATGCAACTTTTTGCTGTTGTTGTCGTTACTGTAGTTGTTGTTGTTGTTGTTGTTGTTGCTGTTGTTGTTGCTGTTGTTGTTGTTGTTGTTGTTCTTCTTCTTCTTCTTCTTCTTCTTCTTCTTCTTCTTCTTCTTCTTCTTCTTCTCATCGAGGTACCACTCACTTTGACGGGCATAGTGATCCATTAGACCTCCCAACGATTTTCAAATGTGTCCCCCTCTTGAGTTTCAGCTGTTTAACTGGTGACAGTAAATACATTAGTTCTGTAATGCACACTAAACCAGGCAGGGGCACGCATGTACAAGTCGCATGAGGTTCCAAATATCTTACAGGCCAAAGCAGGAGAAAATTTAATGAAATCGGTTGAATTACCCAATGTCTCATCCTGAGACGACGAAAACTGACTCTAAAGCATAATGATTATGTTACTCTAAGGCGATTCATGAGAGAGAATGTTATATTATTCGTTCTGGCTGGGCCGGAAACTATTGACACGGGTTTTTAAGACGGACAGTTTTTTGGTTTGTTGTTTGGTTTTTTTCTAACTTAATAATCAACCCACCGCGAGCCACTTTCATTATTAATCAATTGGTCGACTGAGTGGCACGTCTGAAACTGGCCCAGATCTGGCCCCCAGACCGTAGTTACCTCATGTCTGTGCTAAGCCGTCTTGGTGTCTTCATTGTCGACTCTCCGGTCTTGAATTTCTTGTAGGCCAACGCGTTGGGCTTTCAGACTGCGGTGTTCAAGTCCTAGGTCTGAACATAAAGACCTGTTTCAGCCTTCTAGGCCTGTGGTAGCTGTTAGATGTTCGTTCTTTTAATTTTGCAGCCCCCGTTTATTTTAGAGCACAAATCTTATTTTATTCTTCTTTATAATAGACTTTTTTCTTGTGCCCCCCCCCCCCAAAAAAAACCCTTTTTCCACCCCGGTGTGTATGCTTGTTCACTTGTTCTTTCATTGGACTTGGTCTACACGACAACATAGTGAGATTTTCTCGGGCTTTAAGGTAGATTGGTGCTCCATTCATCTCTCGGGGGTCTTTGTGCCTGAGATATGTAATGGGATTCAGAACAAACAGAGAAATCGCATAAGTTTCCTGCTAGTTTCTTATTTTTCCTGTTGCTTTTACAAGAGATGCTGTTTTGGCTTGAAGCTTGGCTCTCAACTAGTCTTATGGAGATACATGTATTCGTATCATATTCAAAGTTTGGCAACAAGCATTGTTTCCATGAGACGCAGCTGTATCTCGATGTGATGTTAAAACGGTCAAGCTGAGAGCCTGGCCTGTCAGTGGTACCACACTCAAACTCTACAATACCCCGGGACATTCGGTACACGCCTGGTGATATAAGACAAATACCCTGCCCTCTCTGATCGCACACACACACACACACACACACACACACACACACACACACACACACACACACACACACACACACACACACACACACACACAAACAGAGAGAGGGGGGGGGGAGACATAGGTCGAGAAGGAGAATGAGAGAGAGAGAGAGAGAGAGCGAGGGGGGGGGGGCAGTTGGGGAAAGGGAAGATTCAAATCCGTTACTTATCAACTAATTCTCTCAGCTGAGCAGCGTCCCCTTATGTTTGCTCTAGGACATCGTGAACATGCAGACACTGCCAGTCTCCCTGTTGGTGCTTTATAAAAGCTGCCTACTCGTGTGTATGTGTGTGCGTGTGTGCGTGTGTGTGTGTGTGTGTGTGTGTGTGTGTGTGTGTGTGTGTGTGTGTGTGTGTGTGTGTGTGTGTGTGTGTGTGTGTGTATATATGTGTGTATGTCTGGCTTTTCTGGTGTCGAAGAACATTTCCTTTGTCTTTAACAAATTAACTTCAAAAACATTCTTTCCAGAAAAAAAATTAATCACTTTACACAAACTAGTCTTCCTTGTCACTGCTTACACAACCGTGCCCCTCACCCCCACCCCGACCCCCACCCCCACCCCCACCCCCACCCCATGTTCCACTGTACCTCCCCATTGTGTTCTTAATATTATCATGATACTTAGTTACAGAACGTTCAGCTTAATATTACATGGTTCTTTTGACGAGAAATCTCAAACCCATTCCAACGTGCTTCTTAACATTTGCTTTTAGTAGGTCTATGCGGACGGATGGTACTAAAAATGGAAGAAAAACAATAAAAACGTCGATTAAATTCTCATTGTCATTACGAGCGTCTTAAAATGTATTATTATCTTAGTCTGTTGAGTGGAAACACCCTCATGTTTGTTTGGGTATAACAGATTCACCTAGATAGAAATGGGTAACCGGCTACAGACAGCGAAAGATCTTGTCAGTTTGCTAGTGTCTGGGCGTTACTTAGCTGCTTGCACTGTATGCTTCTCGGAAAGCTGAGAACATTTCTGAATGCTCTAGGGTCTGCTGGGTAATAATAATAAAGCGCAAAGCGCAAAGAGCATGCTGTCGAGCAGGGTATATGACGAAAGTTGCGCCAGCGAAAGTCAATGGCTCTTTGGTCTCTGATCACTGACTGGACAAGTGGTACACCGGTGGAGGAAATGAGGTGACGAGCCAAGTCAACCACAGTTGAAACCGTCGAGTATAAGACACTTTCCGTGAGTTCGTGTACAGCAGGTGAATCTGTGAGGTCAGAGTATCGACGGCACAACCCATTTTTGGCTTCGCTGGGGGTGGGGTGTTCATGTATGATAGATCTAATCACACCCGAGATTTGTACGATGCAAATAGTACGAGGGGGGTTTAATAAGTCTATGGTCTGGGTGTGAAGGTTTCATGGTAGAGTAATGAAATCTCGCCAGCCTTTAGACAATTTCTTTGGAATATACCATGTAAATTTTCGGAAAAATCCGACAGTTATAACGAAATAGTCAGCGTGAGGACAAACGAGGCAGGGGTAGGCCCAGAACAACATACTAAGGGAACCTAAACAAATGGGTAACAGGGAAAGATCAAGGAAACGTAGCTTTTTTTTAGAGCATCCGAGCAAAGGAATGAATGGAGAACCATGATCGCCGATGTCTGTCCCAAATCTGGCACTGGATGATGGTGATGATCGATGATGAGTCAGCGTGTTCAATTGCTTACTTGGTTGAAGAATATGTATCATTGCAGGCGACACAATGCCATAGCTGCTCCTCCCTCCTCTCCAAGATCCATGAAAGGGTCTGCCTGCTGATCGTGCCAGTTAACAGCTGGTTCGAGCTAAGCGTGTTCAATGAAACAATGCACAAAAACGTTTGGTTTTCCTTTTCTGAAGCTGTGCCATGGAGCCTGTTGAATATCGCTCATTTATCAAGTTTTTACACTTGCAAGGAAAATCCCTTTCGGACATTTTTCAGGAAATGGTCCAAGTTTATGGTGACAAATTAATGTCCTCGTTAAAATACTGTGACCTACTGGGTAAGAAAATTCAGATCTGGATTCATGTCGGTGATGGATGAAGATTGTGAAGGGCGCCCATCCTTTGTGGTAACTGAAGAGAATGTATCCTTAGTGAAGAAACTGGTTTTACAAGACCGACGTATAACTGCTAAACAGCTCTCAAGTGAAACGGGAATCAGTGTAGGGTCAATTGAAATGAGTCTCCATGACCATCTTAACATGAATAAGGTGCCTACGTGGTGGGTACCCCGCCTTTTGACAAGTGAGCAAAGGAAGCAGAGGGTTGAGTCCTGCAAAACTCTCCTTCGAATTGAGTCCACTGACACAAATTTCTTTAAAAACATGGTGACTACGGATGAAACATGGATTTATCATTTTGATCCAGAACAAAAAATGTCCTCCATACAATGGAAACCGCTTTCTTCTCCCTCACCAAAGAAGACAAATGTAACATCGTCAAGTGGAAAGGTCATGCTGTCGTGTTTCTGGAATTGTGAAGGTACCATCATGTCCGACTACCTGGATAATGGAAAAACAGTCACAGAGGACTAGTATTCGGATTTGCTGGTAAAATTGTAGTACGAATTGGTGAGAAAAAAGACGTGGAAAACTCCGTAATGGGGTCCTCCTACTGCATACGCCCATGCGCACAGGGCACAACAAACAGTCCAGACAGCAGAACAGTGCGGCTTTGAAATCCTGCTACACCCAACGTATTCACCAGACCTAGCCCCTTCAGACGTTTTTCTGTTTCCTAATTTTAGAAAATCACTAAAAGAATGTCGTTCCCATGACAACGAGGACGCCATTGGGGCTGTGGAAGACTGGTTATGGGCCCATTCTGGGTCTTTTTTTTTTCTCAAGGACTTTTGAAGGTCAAACAGAGATGGCAGAAATATGTTACTCTGCATGGTAACTATGTAGAGAAATGGAAATATGTGTGCCAAGTTACAAAGCTCTATCTTTATTCCTTCATATTTAGACTAAAGACTTCTTGAACCCCCCTCCTACAACTGCACTCTAACATTCAAGAGTTCAATATCGGGAGGACACAGTATTTTTTTTTCTACTGTAGAAAGCACCTAGCTTTCTTTATTTTGCTATTTTTCTTCTCAAGTAACACGCCTCCGCTTTCGTCCTTTCCGCAAACTTGGGTTCTGTTCCTACCTGTCATAATATGGAAACCGTTAAAAGCTGGCACTGTCCTCTTCTTCTTCTCCTCCTTCTCCTTTTTCTTCTTCTTCTTCTTCTTCTTCTTCTTCTTCTTCTTCTTCTTCTTCTTCTTCTGCTGGCGCTCAAGGAGTAACTTAACTGCAAAGCTTTTTTATCACTGTTGTTTTGTATACATGGAACGTAGAAAAATGCTTTGTCTGACAGGCAACCACATAACATTTTTTAAAGATACTCTTAATACTTATACTGACTAGAGTTGCTTCTGGTGTTAGACAGGAAATTAACTTTTAATTTTGCCGGGAAGGCGGCCGAAGGGGATATTTATTTCGATTTTAGAACAGTCAGAGATCTTTAACGTGCAACAATTTCACATGAGACCTCCAAAATGTTTCGTCTCTATTCGAGAAGATAAAGGCAGTGTTTGTTCCTACCTACTCAAGGATAAAAAAGTGTTGAAAAAAATATGAAAAAATGTAACACCGAACATCTGGGTTGCAGGCGAGCTTCATACCTGTTGAAATACTGCCCCCTC